AATAAAAAATATACCAATTTACAAAAACCTTTTATAGTAGGAAATTCATAGTAAACTTATAATATAAACTTATATTTGAGTTTAAATTTTTAATAAAATAAGCTATATTATCAATATATAGCTTATATTATTATTATTATTTTTTAAAATTAAGGTGATATTTTTGGCTATGTGAACTTTTTATTAGTAATTATTTTACTATTATAGTTACAATAAAGATACAACTAGCTATACATGCACTTTTTAAGTGCCTATTTAAGTAGTCCATCTACAGGTTCTATACTAGATACTATACCTATAACCCAACTAGGGAGTTATCTATTTAAACCTTTTGATCCTAACCATTTTTAGCATATTATACTAATCTGAGAACTGCTATTTAGCCCATTTTACTAAATTGCATACTCTGCTTTAGAACTTTTGTGACTTATTCTGGGTTTGTACTGACTAATTACTGGCTTGCATTCCTCTGTTAAGCAAACACATGGCTATTCTCTACTAGAGCCTTCTGTATCTTGTATTTGGCTAACCCAGTCATCACAGTTGCTAAGGCTTCTACTCATAGTTTGGTATAACCAAATTGAACTGCTATGCTCTTGTAAAATTCACTTCAACCCCAGTATTCACATTCAGGTTTTCTTTTTTCTGTTCTTGTCTTATTGGTCACTCCTTTACTTCCAACTTGCGACCTAAAAGATTTGACCCTGGCTAGGCTCTAGGTGTCTTATACCCTGTCTCATTGTAGTATATAATTTTATAGATATGTTCTTTTTCTTCAATTGGGTCTGGCTAGTCTCTAGAAATTACCTAGCTCTTGTCATTAGATAGAATCTAACTCTTAAATTCTAGTTATGGTAGATAACTACCCTAGTTTTTCACACTGGCTAACTAGGTTGATATGCTAGCTTTCTCTTTAATTGGTGGTTAGGTTGATAGATCTTCCTACTTAAAAATCTTGTTGTTGTTTGGCTCTCTAATCTTAGCCATCATTTTCAAATTCAGCCTTCTTGTAGCACTGTCGAAAGTATCTACTATCTTCTTACTCAGGTTTTTCCAAACAGGTTTTGATCATCTCAGTTTTTTAGTATTTCTGCACTAAAGCTTCCATAACAAAATAGTACAACCAAGATTACAGATTGTAGATTCAACCAATCGATAGATAATTATTACATAATGCAAATCTATTTTTTAAAAAATGTCTTCTATGAGATTTGGACTCTAGACCTGCCACTTGGTGGGATTATAACTAGACTACTTTACTAAGCCACTACACCTTATATCTTATATTATTAATAGTAATATATACTATATTAATATAATAAATTAGTATTTTTTTTTTTTTTTGGTTTTAAGATAAGATATTACTCATATTTTTATTAAATAATTTATATAAGTAATTATATAGAGACTATATAAAAACTTAAATTATATACAAACAAATAAATATAATTATATACAAGAATAAAAGCTTAGACTAATTTATTTACAATCTAAACCTACTAGAGTGGTCAAGACTTATCTAGATTTGAATAGATAAATGTAATTAATAGATATGCTATATTTAATCTACATAGTAGACTAAATATTATATTTAAGTAAAGCTTGTTCTAATAAAGAGTATATGTTAGAGTCAGAATATAGCTGGTTAGCAAAGTTACAAGAGCAATTATATATATAAGTAATTCTGTTTCTGTAATTTCTAAGAAGTAAGAAGAACTGAGATATAGTATTAATTTATGATTGGATTAGTGTTCCAAATCAAAAATGGAGTAATCTATTAATTAATTAAATTGGCAACTAATTATTTAATAATTTTATTAGACAACTAATTAGTTGTTGATAATTAATTAATTAACTGATTAATTGACTAGTTAGTTAATCGATTAGTTGACTAATCAACTAGTTGTTTTATAGTATATAGTATATATTATGTCTTGATCTTATATCTAAGCTATTTTTACATACTAACTAGTTGAATGAACAATTAATCAATTAATTAACTAATCAATTAATCAATTAGTTAGCTATAATTGATTTTTAATTAATTTTTAAAAAATTTTTTAGCTAACTAATTGATTGCATTTTTTGGTCTAATTTGTAATACTAGATAGGATTTGATAAACTTTTTTCTATTGAGAAAGTTAAAGCAATAGAGAATTTAAATATTATTATAAAGTTGGCTAGAATTTTTTAAAAGTATTTTGATAATAAGTTGAGAGGCTTGGGAGTAAGAAATTTTAAAGAGGTTTAGTGATTGACTAGAGCAATAGGTATAAGGCTTTTAAGTGTAAAATTAAGAGTGTAAAGATATAATTGTGATAAAGAGAAGTTAAAAGAGGGATATGAGGTGATAGTATATACTGGATTATTTAGTTAGTATATTGAGAAGTTGAAATTAGTATTGAAGATAATATTATAAATTAAAATGTTAATAGTTTGAGTTAAAAGTTATTGTCAAGGCAAAAATACCAGTAAAAGAAGGTATCAGGATAGTTGTATAAGAAATAATTAAGGGATATAAATGTAGATGGGTAGATAGAGTGAAAATATACATGTATTAGAAGAATATTATGGGTTTGGTTGACCAAATTTGTATATTTCTTGATCAAATTTATAATATTATACAAACTTCTATTTTGATCCATCTTTGATAACTCACAATCCAGTATTCAGATATTGGTAATTTTAGTACTATTCAAATCATCTCAATGAGATGATTTAAATGGTATCAGAATTATCACTATCTGATTACTAGATTGCGAGTTATCAAAGATAGATCAAAATAGAAATTTGTATAACATTACAAATTTGATCGAGAAATATATGAATTTGGTTAACAAACCCATAAAAAGTATTTTGATTTTAAAAGATTTTAGATAGTTTAATTTAGGATTAGTAAGATTGTATGATACTTTTTAGTTGTTGTTGAAATATAGCCAAGAGGCTTTCTAGTCAATTAGATAAGAGAAGTAAAACTATTTTTAAGCACAATATTGTGAGGACTATAAGACAATATTTTAGATTTTTCAAATTGATTTAATAAATTGTCTAGTAGAGCTTTCAATAAAGCTTTTGTTCTATTGCAAAATAGAGAATAGGTTATAAAGATTAGTGTAGTTGAAATGTAGAATTGATGAAGTAGAGTAATTATTTGCAAGTAAGTCTACAAGATTGTTAAAGGGGTTTTCAGAATGAGTTTGAACTTTGTAGAAGGAGTGTTGAATATTGAAGGCTTTGAGAATATTGAGAAGTGTATGCCAGATAGACCAGACATTGAATTTAAATTGTTTCAAGGAATGAGATAATAGAGTCTGAAGTTTGTTATATTTAGAGATAACAGATTGTGAATTGGTAAAAATCTCTATAGTTAAGTTGTGAGGAAGTGTAAAAATAGCTAAAAGTATTGCTAATAGTTCTGCTTTGTATAAAGGCCAGTTGAGGATTTGAGCAGAGAAGCTTTAAATAACTTGATCATGGTGAACTTGGACCCAGCCAATGCCCATCGAACATTGGTTGATGTATCTAATGGCATATAATTTAATAATATTTACAAATATCTTCTTACTATAACATTCAAATATATTGATAAACAAAAGGTAATTAAACCTAAAATTCTATTCGTCTCTTATGTCTATTGAAACGACAATAAATACTAAAAATATTAATATCATACCAATAATTTTGACAATACTTTAAACAATAAGCAGTGGCGTAGTAAATGGCCACCGTTCACTATATACCGTTTAGCTCTGATCTCAATGTAATTTCATTTAACATTAAAGTCTATATAAAATTGTATTGCTGGATATGGTCTTTGCTTTAAAAATTATGCATCCAATTATGGCTGTAGTTGCGATAAGTTATTTGTAAAATTGTGTTAAAAGGACGAATAACAGATGCAAAGTTTTATATGAGTTGAGATTTCGGATGCCAAAGCTTTAGTGCTAAAGTTTTAGGTAATAATTAGGCAACTTAATTTTTTTTCTTTTTTAAAACATAATGGAATCGATTGAAGCTCAATCAATTTATTGTAGTATTTGAACGTCATCTCAGAGAATCAGCATATCTCTATTCCTAATTACAGGTTCAAACTTTTGGTGGTGTCATAGGTTACTACAGATAATCTGCTTTGTACTGAATAATACAAATAGGCTACAATCGTCCATTTTTTGAAAAATTATTGGTAATATATTTATTAAAAAAAAAAAAAAAAACAACTTTATAATCCCCATTACTATTAAAATTTTATAATCACATCTTTTTTATGTAAAACAAACAGCGTGATTATAGAGGAGGACGACAGTACATGTTGATTTTATATCTAATAATAATAATACGTAAGTTAGAACATCACTTGACGACCAGTTACAGTGTATTCATTTATGCACACATGGATTTAATTAATTAATTAATTATTGTCTTGGGTATAGTCAAATCGATAAATAAGGGACGATTACAAGCACTAGTCTTTTATGGTACCGTACCATATAATAGATTAACCAGATCAACTTATAGACACAATAAAGTGTTTTTACCGGACCCATGACGATAAAATCTTCCGGGAAGCCATCATAATTACGAAACATGTGAAAAGTTCCATCGCCGAATCTCAATAGTTATGAAAATGCCTATGATACGTATTAAGGGATATTGAAATCACGGTGCCCACGCCTGTTCTGGAATACAATATAATCTTCATATGGCATACACTCTAAAAAAATTATGAAAATCGAGATCGTTAAGTACTAGATTAGATACACAAACCAGAAATGATTAACAGATGCAGAATGCTAACTAAACCCTTTTTCAAAATCTGAGACATTTATCTTAATAAAAATTAAATTTAGCTTTGTAACATAGTTAAAAATTGCAATTTTGGGCTGATTTATATTAAATCTTTATAGTACTGGTTTTAGAGTTTTAAAGTTCTGATCTTGTGGAAAATAGTAGGACCTGCGCAGGTCGGGTCTAATAAAATAATTTTTTTTCTGTCGGTCTGCATGACTCGCAAAAATAAAAATATACTACGTTATAAAACTCGGTCCGTGCTTTTGAATGCTCAGTCCGCAAATTTGCTACGATTACAAATTTTTTCAAATTCGGCCGAACATGCAGACCTCTAGAAATAGAAAATAAGTTCAGTTAAAGTCTTGTCCGGAACACAAAATGTAAATACTGTATATGAAAACGTGAACAATATTTTATTTATTATTTATTATTTATACATTGTTTGAATTTTGTATGTATTTCATTAATACTATTTGGTTACATACATTGTGTCGAAATTTTCGATAATTTAAAAATAATAATGCAACAATATTTGATTTTAATTGCATGAAAACTCCATCATTAATACAAATATATTAGGTTATGCGATAGAGAGACAGTTACTTTCTGTTTTTGTTTGTAAAATAATTTAAAGCATAAAAATTGGAAGCATTTGCAGGATCACCAAATGAAATGTATACGTATTAATATTATGAAAACATCGATATCGCTATATTTAACCATAATACGTAATTTATGCTATAATCAGTGGTCGATCATGTGGTTTCACGCAATATAAACTAAATCATATAAATAAACATCTAACTGATCCACCTCTCACATTTCTAATTTTTTTCAATTTTTATTAATTTAAATAAATAAATAAAAATAATAAAAAAATAAAAATGACTTCTTCATTTATAACAAGTCTTATTCGAGATTTAACTCAGTTACTTGAACATTCAGAAAATTATGATGTAAAAATTCAAGCTGGAGAAAGTCAAAATTCTAAAGAATTTAAAGCACATTCAAACATTCTATGTGCACGATGTCCTTATTTCAAAAGCGCATTATCAACTAATTGGGTTACGAGAAAAGATGGTTATATCATTTTTTCTAAACCTAATATTTCTCCATCAGTATTTGAATTGATACTTAAGTGAGTGATGTAAATTATTTTAAGAATTATTATAAAGTTTTTTTTTTTTTTTTTTACTAGATATAAATAATATTCATTTATTTTTATTTTTATTTTTTTTCCCGTTTGAAATAGGTTTATGTATACAGGTAATTAAAATTTTTAATATGTAAAATATATATATATATATATATGCATAATTTTAAAAGATTTACAATTCTTTTAATTCATACTAGGTGTTGTCGCATTAGAGAAACAATCTGGAAGGGATATATTAAGCCTAATGGTTGCAGCCGACGAGTTACTTCTCGAAGAATTAGTTATTTATGTACAAGATTATTTAGTAACAGATCAATGTTCATGGGTACAACAAAATTTTGTTCAAGTTTTACATACAGTTTTTCGTTTAAGTAATTGTAAAAAACTTCAAGATTTTTGTTTGGAATCTATATGTGAAGATCCACAACCATTTTTTGTTTCAGGCGATTTTAACGAATTAGATAAAGAAATACTTTTCGGTTTAGTAAAACGAGAAGATCTGAGGATAGATGAAACTGAAATGTGGGATTATTTAATTCAATGGGGAATTGCAAGAACTCCAGGACTAGGTCCAAATAATAATAATATTTCAAATTGGAATTCGGTATGTTTTGCGGCGTTGAGGGAAACGTTGGAACAGTTCATGCCTTATATTCGATTCACGGAAATCTCACGTGCTGATTTCTACGATAAAGTTCGACCATATAAACAGATTCTCGGTCATGAATTATATGAAGAGATGATGGAATTCCATTTTAAAGATAAAAGACCAAAGAATGCTGATTTACCGGCAAGAATAGCATACTCCAGGATCGATTCCGTTATCTTAAAACCGAAGCATGCCGCTGTTATTTCAAATTGGATCGAACGAAAAGAATCTCCATTTATTTTTTCTAAAAAGAATGCTTACCAATTTAATCTCATTTATCGCGGAACTCGTGATGGTTTTAGTAATGTAGCCATAATAAATAGATGCCAAAACCATGGTGCGTACGTTGTCGTTATAAAAATTAGAGGATCTAATAAGGTTGTTGGCGGTTACAATTCTTTAGGTTATCGAAGAAGTATGAACAATACTCAAAGTTTCCAATCTGGATTTTTAACTCAAATGGAATGGAAGTATAGCCTTGATAGTTTTTTGTTTAATTCTGATGATATGAAAAATATAAAAACAATGCATTTGAGCAGAGTTAGTACTCCTAATCAAGCCCATTATGCTTCTACTCATCATGCTGTAAATTTTGGTAATAGTGATCTAATTTGTAACGGTTTGGCTGGTTCTTGTTATAAGAATTATTATCAATATAGGCTTTTAGAATCGGAATTTACTACCGAAGAAATTGAGATATTTGCCGTAAATCCTCAATAAGCCTTTTCAAATATATATATATATATATATATATATATATATTATTATTATATTTATTAGTAGAAAAATTTAATATGTATAATTAATATTTCATTAAATAATAAAAGATCAAACCATTGTAATATCAAGCATCATGAATCCGGTCTTTGTTTTTTATGTATAATCAGTGTTTCATCAAATAATAAAAGATCGTGAACATTGCATTAACAAAGATCACGACCATCATACTGTACATTAATTTTTGTTTACCTTATTTGCTGTATGCTGAAATATGTAAACACATACTCTCGTAGTCATTGATTTAAAACAGATAAATATTACAGGATCATCGTTTTAAACGATGATATATCGGACTTCTCATGCATGTACTCCGACAAGCTATGGTAGATACAGTTGTATTAGCTAATCCGCAGCTCTAAGACGCAGCTCAATCACTGCAACTCATCAGTTTGGCCGGCTTGGCTCCATTATGCAGCTGAAGCCAACTTCAAATAAGCCGTTAACGGCTCAGTCAGCCATTGATTGAAACGTTGCTAAAAATTCATGGTATTAAATGTGGATTTTAAGGGTGCTCCCAAACATCTCCCTCAATATGATTAGCTAATGATCGAGATCATGCACAAGTACTATGATTAATTAAAGTAATCCTTACAGAAATTTTACTGTTAAGAATGGGATATTAAATCAGCACAACTCTGATAAAAAAAGATGGTCGAAACTATTCTTTTTTTTTTTTTATTCATCGCGATGATAAACTCACTCGACCGTACAGTTGTTAGACGAAACCTTTTTCGCTTGATGGCGAAATACGAAACCTAAACCCCAAAAGACGAAACCCTAAATTCTTCTGACGAAAGACGAAACCTTAAACGACGATCAAAAAAACGAAACCCTAGTGCTCCCACTAAAAAAAAAAAATGTTATTTTCATTGAATTAACATTCATAATTTATTCAAAGATCAGTACATGTATACCAGCAAAAATAAATTTGTAAGATCACAAAGTAAACACCAAGCGATTTCTCACTAGAACTGATATGTAGCGTACTAGTATAATGATGGGCAAAGTCAGTTATATGTTATTACTTAATATTACTTAATATTACCTTGCAATAGGTAATAATAAGTAATTTTATAATAATTTTATTCTTAGCAGTAATTTTTCGTTCAATCTTAATTTTGATCTTTCGCCTCCGACTGTTATCATGTGTATACGTAATAAGTAATAGAATGTAATAAATAAATATTTAATTATTATTTAATATTTTATTTTTTAATAAACTTTCAAATTTTATATAAAATATTTGAAACTACTAGACCTATATTTTGCTTTGTAATTAAATATTAGAATTCGATGACGAATATTTCGAATATTTATAAATGTTCGGATTAGGATTAAGGTAAAACTGCCTCCAAAATAGGTTAGGCGACATAGTGGATTTCATAAATTTCGAATATTCGAATTTTTAATATTTGAATATATGTTTAGTGTAGGGAACGGGAGTTCAATACTTGTATATGTTCCTTTCCTTTCTGTACAGTGTTTTGTGATTACATAATATCAGCGGACCTTAGGGACACTATGTATTCTTATTAAAAATCTAGTATAACTTGCAATTGTAATTATTGTAATTTCATACAAGCACTGATAAATAAAAATATATCTACTTGAACTGTATATCCGAATTCATGTCAAGTTTGGTGATGCTCCTTCAAACACCTCATTTAGAGAACGGAAATTATTTGATTGTGATTAAACAAAATCAAAATAACAACATAATTTTGACAACTTATATTACGTCAATATCACTTGTATTCATTTTAGTATGTTATGAAATGTAAAATAAAATGAAAGAATGTTCTTGTTAGTATATTAACGTGTTTAGATTAAAATTAAATAATTACAGTATGAGCAAGATTTTATAAGACACTACATATTTTTTTATTTAGTTTAATAAACAGTGTTTTTTTTTTCTAATCAGCAATCAACCGATCAATCGAATACTTTATACCGGGTGGGTGAAAAGTCACTATACAGGTCCCTTTTTTTTTTTAATCACTAAAATAGTAATCATTGCAATATTATATATAAATTGTATTTAAAATTAAGTACTATAAATCTTAGTGGATAGTAAAAAAAGGAGACCTGTATAGAGACTTTCACCCACCCGGTATGTGATTGTTCTTTAGTTACACACAATTTTTAATGTCCAAAGCATTAGAATTAGTAGTCCAGTGGCTTTCAATCTCCCGATCAACAGCACTATTAACGAAATATTAGAATATAGTTCGTAGGCGAAATCTTTTTGTTGTAATGATAAAAGAATTTCATTAGTGATGAAGTGAAACGTCGAAGTCAAAATCTAGAAGATAAAAATAACATTAATAAAAGCCTAAATCTCGTTGAGCTAAATTGTATTTAACTCAATGTTTAACCATATTCTTCCAAATATCAACAGGAGGAAATGTTAATGTTATATGACTGATTTTACACACAGTGTGAAACACAAAAAATTTATTTTACAAGACTTGATTAGTCTTGATCAGTCCGCTAGTACATGTTATGATTATAATCCAACACCATTTTTATTATAATAAAATGGTAATCATAACATGTACTAGCGAACTGATCAAGACTGATCAAGTCTTGTAAAATAATTTTTTTGTGTTTTACACTGTGTAAAAGCAGTTGCGTAATATTAATGTTTCCTCCTGTCCAAATATCTAATAAAAAAAATTTTTTAAAAAATTATTAATTTTATGAAATATATGTGCAGAATGATCTTCTGGAACTAAAAGCTAATATACTAACTATCCAATGATTTTTTTTATATATATTTTTGTAAAGCTCTACAAAATAAAAAAAAAAAAAGGTTATTCAAATTAGACTATTGGATGGCTAACGAATTTAACCTTTACTCATAAAATCTATTTAGTCTTGAAAATTTATTTTCTATCAAAGATTCCATATAATATATATATAATACAGTATATATATATATATACTCGTATGAAGCCTTAAAACGATTTTTTTGATCTTTGAAGATGGGTTTTAAAAATGGATAAAATAATCACACTCAAAGAAATTATATATATTTTTTCCATTGTTCTATTATAAAGTATTAACATTTTAAGAAATCTCTTAAACCGTTTTACAGGCAAATTGTCTGCAAAAAGTTTACAGTTAAGGGATAATTATATTAGTATAAAAAAAAAAATTAGTACAAAAATGGATAACAATAATTCATATATATTCAGAGTTGGAACAAACAGTGTTGGTAAATGGCTTGTTTATTGATAATTGTCACCTCCCTGTATTATATTATTTATAACATGACACAATAAATAGTATAACAAAAGGATGTAACAATATAATAGAGTAGTATTAAGAGAGTATGAGTGAAGAGGAGGAAGAATAGTTAGAGTTAAAATATACTAACGAACAAACATTTGTCAATACTGCCATCATATGTATTCAGAGTTGAAATGAACAGTGTTGGTAAACGGCTTGTTCATTGGTAATTGTCGCTTTCCTGTATTACATTATTTATAATATGACGCGATATAAATAGTATAACAAAAGGATGTGACAATATAATAGAGTAGTATTAAGAGAGTATGAATGAGTAGAGGAGGGAGAATAGTTAAAAGAGGTAAAATATACTAATGGACAAACGTTTGTCAATACTGCCAACAAATACTCATTCTTGAACACCAGTTTGCTTTTTTTTTTTTAATAAATAGCCAAATTGTCAACCTTGTGTATATTAAGTAAAATCAACTTATTAGTTTTTTTAAACCCAAATAGTGTCATACCTAAATATATGAGAACCCTTTAAAGCCCATGAAAATTCAAAAGTGTTTAATTATACTATTTGTTGGTAATATAGAGGTAAAATCTTCTACAACTTAGCTAATATGTGTATATTTTACATTTTCAAATTTATAACAATTCACCTAAAACCAGTTATGCTGCGAGAACTCAGCGAGGATCTTCAATGGAGGGTTGTTTATCTAGGTGTATATGGATTTAGTAAAGAAAATATTGCTATAGTTCTTTTTATTAGTAGGGCTACTGTATATAGAATATTACATACATTTGAAAAATGGGGATGTGTTAGAAATCTCTATAAAGGCCAACCCAGTTGTAAAAAATCTTTTACTCGCAAAGATATGGATTAGTTAAAGCATATAATTAAAGAAAAAGTAGATTGGTATTTGGATGAGATTTTGATTGAAATGGAAAACTAGACAAATAAGCATTTTTCCATTTCATCTTTATGATGCTCAATGAAATATTGCAGTATTTCTCATAAGAAGGTAGCTAAAAATTAAACTTAATTAATATATGAGTTGTCAAAGAAAAACCTGTCATCAGGCTAAAACTAATTTAAAACCAATTAACTTTTAATTAGCTACAAAAAATAACATCTGAAAGAAATGAGCTTCTTCGAAGTGCTTTTCTTACCGATATTGGGGCAAATTATCATCCTGACCAGTTGATTTTTCTTGATGAATCTGCAAAGGATAACCATAATTTAAATTGGCATTACGGTTATGCCCCTATAAATCATCGTGCATGTAAAAATATAATTTTTGTTTGTGGAAAAAGATACACAATTTTATCTGCTCTCTTATTAGATGGCTTTCTAGTAGTTGAAATTTTAGAAAATAGTTACAGTAAAGAACAATTTTGTGAATTTATTTTATCTCAAGTAGTAAGTTAATTAAATTTTATTAAATTTTATTAAATACAACTTACTCTTGTTATAATAAAGTCCCCAAGTAATAAATATATATTCAACAATAGATTCTTATCATAAATCCTTTTCCCAGAAAAAACAGTGTTATTATTTTCGATAATACGAAGATTCATCATAATGAATTTCTTATTAATATGATAGAGGGACTTGGCTATCGCATAATCTTTTTACCTCCATATTCGCCAGACTTCAACCCTATTGAGACGGCCTTTGGTACTATTAAAAACTGGATACGAAG